CTCCTCCCCTCCCCCTCCCCCTCCTCCTCACTCTTTATTCCACTTAACCTGCTTTATTTTTCTTCGGAGCACTTACTGCTGACATATATTCATTTGTTGTGTGTCTTCCCCTTAAAAGACTGAGTACCACAAAGGCAAGAGCTGTGCCTTACACAGAATAGGGGCTCCATAAATGCTCTGAATGAATCATAATAGAGATGAATGAATGAATGAATGAATGAATGAACAGATATTTCTGAGCACCTGCTTTGTTTCAGGCCCTGCAGGAACCTCAGAGCTGGACCCAAAATGGTTCTTGCCATCCAGGCATGTACGAGAGGCAGGGAAGGATCCATGCACCAAAAACACCCCCAGGCAAAAAAAAAAAAAAATAGACCCCAGGCAGGAAATGGGGCGGGCTCTGGAGAGGAAGAACAGAGGGGTAGAGTCCAAGGTGCTGCAGGGACGGTGGGACTTGACCAGGCGGAGGAAGAGGAGGAGTTGGCCCTCCCGGCTGGGACCCCAGAGCAGGCAGAATCCCAGGAGTGACTGATGGCGGGAGCAGAGCAGTGTGGCTTTAAGGGGCAGAGCAGGTCTCAGGAGGGGGAGCAGGGCTCAGTGAAGTCAGAGGTCAGTTGGGTGCAAGCCCAGGAGTCCTCGACCACCCAGCCAAAGGCCTCTGTGTGGGAGACATGATTCTTGGTGGCAGTCTTCCCTTTGTCTCTGGGTTAAAGGGCACTAAGGGAGTAAGGGACACAGAGTCGGTCACACGGTGACTTACTGTCCTTCAAGTGAGCCTCTAGGGGCGTCTGTACCACACTCTGCATGGCTTCCACGAGGCCCTTGAAGAAGGTCTTGATGGGCGCGAAGGATTGGGGCACAGGGTGGCACAGCTCCCCCAAGCGCATCTGCTGCTTCAGCTCCCGCTCAGTGGCCATGAACTCCTGCAGGAACACAGGGGGTTCAGGGTGGCTCCACGGCTGCACCAGGAACAAACCCTGGCCACCAAGTGCAGGCCCCACCCCACCCTGCCCTGGCACCATTGGTCAGCTAGGGCCCCGCCCCCAGGAATGACCGCACAGCAGACCCCACACAGCAGGCCCCACACAGCAGACTGTCATTCCTCGGTTCAAAACACTCCCCCGGTCCCCATCTCTATACGGAACAAAGTCTAAGTTCCATGGCCGGGTATGTAAAGCTCTTCATCAACAAACATGGCCTCCCGATCAAGCTGCATCTCCCAGCTCCCCTGCACCTGCACTCTGCTCACCTCCGGCCAGGCTGAACGCAGGTGGCTCTCCAGCCCTCCAAGCTCTCACACGCACACGTGGTTCCTTTCTGCCTGGAATGTCCCCTCTGCTTCATCCTTCTATATGCACCCAGTGAGCTCCTCCTGGTCCTCCCACACCCTGCTCCACTGTCACCTCCTCCTAGAAGTCTTCTCTGATCCCCTATGCAGAACTGGACCTTTCTCGGCCACACTTTTGCTAGCTCACTTGAACTGTGTTGTAAATCCTGTTTCTGAGAATGTCTTTCCCCCCATGAGCTGGGGCCTGGGCAGAAGAGGTTGCTCACTGAACATTTGATGAATAAATGAACGAGCAAGTGGAAGGAATGATGAATGGTGGAAATCAGTAGCTTTGGCACCAGAGAATTAAAAAAAGAGAGATGGCAAAGCCTTGAAACTCTACCTGTGATGGAGGAATAATAACATTCTTCTCCATGGAGCAGCCCTTTGAATCAGCTATCCCTAAGGGGTACCATTCTTTTATTTTTATTTATTTATTTTTAAAATATATTTTTATTGATTTCAGAGAGGAAGGGAGAGGGAGAGATAGAAACATCAACGATGAGAGAGAATTATTGGTCAGCTGCCTCCTGCACGCCCCACACTGGGGCTCAAGCCGTGACCTCTAGTTCATAGGTCGATGCTCAACCACCAAGCCATGCCAGCTGGGCAGGGGTACCATTATTTTAAAAGAAACAAACAAATGTCTCCTCCTGTGCCTCAAAGTACAGTAACCATTGTGCATAGGACAGCACCTCACCCAGAATTTTTTGTTAGGCTAATTTTTTATTTTGAATTTACTGGGGCGACATTGGTTAGTAAAATATATAGGTTTCAGATATACAACTCTACGATACATCAACTGTATACTGTAGTGTGTGTTCACCACCCCAAGTCAAGTCTCCTTCCATCACCATTTATCCCCCTTTGCCCTTTCCCACTTCCCCCAGCTCCCTTCCCCTCTGGTCATCACCATGCTGTTGTCTGTGTCTATGTAGGTTTGTTTATTTTTCAAGTCATAACAATGAGACACAGGCTGAGTTGACTAAGGCCACATAAAGGCACACGAGTGGAAATATCCACCAGGGCCTGGCTTGACTGGTTTTGCACTGACAAATTTATTTGTGCTATTTTTCCAGCCAGAACCCATGCAAATCTGTGGTTAGACTCGGTGCCACCTTTATACCTACCCTGCCTCGTCCCAGAAGTCTTTAAAGCAACTTTCAAAGGTTATCTAATACTGCAAGAGTTCCCTTTACCGGGGGAGAAGTGAAGCAAAGAGGAAACCAGGATAAGAACGTAAGCTGGAAAACAGAGGGAGGTGAGGCACAAAACACATGCCATGAAGTCACAGCCCAGCTACTTGAAACATATTTAGCTCTGAGCTTCCCAGAAGCCATAGCAAAGAAGGAAACAGGAAGACGTACGTGAGTGGAAAGCAATCCAAATGCACAGGTGACTGCCCAGGAGTATCGACAGAAGAGAGGAGTTTCTCCCCTGGTTCCTCGAAGACAGGAACACCACCCTCAACACATGCTTTCACTAAGTGTAGCATGAACATCATAGAGGGTATTTCTTAGACACTCTCTCTCCGTTATGGTAATAACCTCCAGAGAGCCCAGTGGCCGAGGAGTACCATTCTTCTCTCCCTCGTGAGCAAACTGCGGCCCAGCTCTTGAGGTCTTCTCAGTAGCTGACAGGATCTTGCCTATCCCGGAGGGGTGTCTCAATGAAGACTGTATAGGTAGAGGCCTGGGCAATGATGCTTTGCAGCTTTAGAGTCAGAGAAACCTGGGTTCCGGTCCCACCTCTGCCACCTACCAGCTGGGTGACCTCAAATGAGTCACTTCAGCTCCCTGAGCCTCAGTTTGCCATTTGTAAAGTGGGGTGAGACTATCCACTTTGCAGAGTTCTAGTAAATATTAAAGCTAAGAACCATGATGGTGGCTGTAAATGTTATTTCATTAGTCCAAGATATACATTACGTTCCTAACTACGTCTGTTTCCTGACCACTTGTGTAGGGGAAGAAAGTCTACTTGCTAACAAGGCAATTCTCTGTGTATTAACTCAGTGTGTAAATACTGTGCTCAATGCCATAGTAACCATGATGAAATGTGGGTGGCGGCTGGCAGGTGGCAGCGGTGAAGCAGAAACCCAGCATTACCTGCAACAGCTGGACAGGGTCGGGCTCCTGGCTGATACTGCAGACCCTGTCGGAGAGACTGTTCAAGACGTCAATTTGGTCCTCACACGATTGATTTGCTTCCCCGTATGCCTGGAGGGTAAGCTGGGTATTCTTATCGATGAATTTCTTGGCTGGCCAGGACTTCCTCTTCATCAAGTAGCAATCTGAGTTCAGTGAATTTCCCTGTCAGCCAGATTTTACTTGACTCTGCATGAGCCTAAAAAGAAAACCCATTGCAGATGATGTGAGCGCCAACTAGGAAATCTAGGATAATCAACATGAAAAAACTATTACGACATCTAAAAGCAAGGTTCAGTCAGGGACAAGATCAACTTACAAGAACTCAAGCTTTCCTAAGGACCCGCCATAACCAATTGGAACATGCAGGGAGCAATAAAGGTCCTTTTAAAATAATGGATAATATAGCAATGTATCTAGAAATAAAACTGAAAAAAAAGCTGTAAAGACCTAGATAAAGAAAAGTATAGAATTGTAATGAAAGACATAAAATAATCTGAATGGGTGGAAGAAAAAAACATATCCCTGGTTGTGGAAGATTCATTACTATAAAGGTGCTATTTGGCTCAGCCACGGTGACTTAGTGGTCGAACAACGACCTATGAACCAGGAGGTCACAGTGTGATTCCTGGGCAGGGCCATGCCCAGGTTGCAGGCTTGATGATGCCCGTAGGGGGTGTGGAGGAGACAGCGGATCAATGATTCTCTCTCATCATTGAGGTTTCTATCTCTCTCCTCTCCCTTCCTCTCTGAAATCAATTAAAAAAATATTTTTTAAAAAGATGCTATTTATCTCCAACTCAGTCTATAAATTGGGCACACTCCAAATAAGTCTTAACATGCAGATTAAACAAATGTTAAATTGTCAGGGGGAGCCCTGGCCAGTGTGGTTCAGTTGGTTGAGCAGCATTCCGTGTACCAAAGAGTCGCTGGCTTGCTATCTGGTCAGGGCACAGGCCTGGCTTGTGGGCTCGATCCCCAGTGGGGGAGAATAAACACAAGAAAAGTAAAAAATTGCTTTAAAAACATCAATGAAGGATGCGTTGCCTTACTTAATACCAAACAAACTAA